ACTGCTGCATAGTACTGCACATATTTGGATTATTCTTCTCAATCTGTGTTCACAGCAGTTGTGACTGCTTAATACTAGGACCACTCCTACAGTTCATTCCCTCATGCTACTCTGTCCATCAAGATGGACAGACTCACACTTTTTCAAAAATCATAAGAGAATATAGCCTTATAGATATCCCAGAACAAGCCTATTTATCCTTGGCCTGCATTTTTGTGGTTAAGGTTTTTTTCAGTATAACTCCCAGGGATAGGTCCTTCAGAAAAGCTACTAGGGTCGGGGAATTTAGGCATCTGACATGGTAAGTGTTCTCATTCTGTGTATACCATTTATGAATTCAACTTATTTGTTATGTCAGACAGAGGAAAAAGAGATGCAGGATGCATAAAAGCAGAAAAATGCATTACCAAAACAGCTTCAGAGAGGGACAATGAAAAAAAGATGGAACCCATGGGCAACTTAAAAAATAAAAAGTGTTATAGTTCACTGAATCAAATATGACATTATAGTGCAGAGGAAATTGAATTCATCCGTACTCGATAAGGGTGGCTTCATTATTCACTTGTGTCTTTGCTTAGTTGTGACACTCATGACTGATGAGACCATCCCCATCTCATGAAGATAAATTCAATATCCGTAGTATGATTCTAATATATTCTCTATATATAGAGAATACGTATAATGGATGGTGGTGGGATAGTATTTTTATCTTCACAGGCTCATGAAAAGAAGGGGCACAATTTCCTGGAGCTGACACTTTGAGCTAGTTTATATGGACCCCTTTTCTCAACTTCTGTGTTGAGGGTGGAAGAGTTGGTATGGGGACATGGGAGAGAGGATGCACAGAGGTTGACTTCGCTGATTTATCATCTAAGATCTGAATCCAGAATTGGATCAAATTAGAGCAGAGATTTGGCCATTGTATCCTAATCTTGATTAGACATTTGTCTGTGTAAGAGCACATCACTATCACAATACAGTCAATAGGAGGAAGCACCACTGAAATGGGCTGACATTAATCTAGTGTTGCTCAGTGCTGTAACTTTCCTCCTTTTTCTCCATTCAAGTACAGTTTTCCAAACCAGTGAAGTATTTCTCCTTGATGAGGTCTCTGACTCACACCTCTTTCAGTAGCATCATATATTCACACACACCTCTAGCAGACCAGTTTAAAAATGTGGAAATCTTGGAAGCTGTTCAGCAGAAATGATCCCAGAAGAAAGGCGATTAATAAGTAAAGCATATAGGAGGAGGTCAAAGGCAGCTATCATAAATTTAATTTAGTACACATCTGTAATTTATCACAACTCCATACAGAACGTTCACATGCCTCTTCATGAGAAAGATTTTTCCTGTTAGACCTGGGGGGAAGAGGGAAAGTGCAAGCCAGCACAGGTTTCTGAAGTGCCATCTCTGTGCGTGCTGCTGCCAAAGCAAACACACATCTAGACATATACACCAGTACAAAGCCCTGGTACAGCTGGCCACTCCAAAACACAGGACTATTTGTTAGGAAACTTCCAGATAGGGACAGACGTCCATTAATTCAATATTCATACTCTCACAACAAGACAAGTGAGAGATTTTACTAGCAGGTAAAAGAAACATTGAAGAAGAAAAGTCTGGAATAAGCTGCACATACAGAATTTTCTTTCAAATCCCATCATTTGGCAGCTGGCATGCATCCACTGCATAATGATTTATGTAACTTCTCGTGTGCAACTTTTGCATTGTAACTGGGCAACACCAGTATTGCTCAGTTTGTCAGTGTCCTCATCACAGCCACTTTGAGAGTTTCATAACACAACCACTAAAATCTGCTTCAGGCTGAAACTTGGCATACAAATGCATGAGGAAGACAAAGTAAGAAATAGTTACTTTAATTTACAGAAAATTATTACATGCTGCCTCTCTTCTAGAGTATGGAATATGATAACTTGCTTATTAATGCAATTTTCTTCTTGTTTACTCTAAAACTGTAATTATATAAAGCAGGTATTTTCTGTCATCGTCTACATAACAGAACACTAATTTGTTAAGCATGCAGCAGCATTCTTCCACCAGATGATCAGTAGCAAAGAGGTGCTATACAAATAAATTCAGTTGTATAACCAACTGAAATGCAAATATGAAACTAAAGTGTTCAATAGATAACAAGGAAATAAATGGGGGAAACTGACAAAGCAAACCAACAAAAAATAAATCCTTTGCTTTTTTCCTTTTTTTATTTCACAGTTTGTCAAAAGTGTAGTAGGAGTCTAGGCATTTGGTTTTATGTACAAAAAGCCTCTTACTGACCCTCTTTGCTACCTTTAATTGCTGTATGTCTCGATTCACTGAAATAAATCTGTATATTATTCTCAGATTCCAGGAGGAACATAGAAAAGCTATTCTTATAACTACAACTTAAAGAGCTAGGTTCTTTTGTAATTCAGTGGAGCCAGGCTAATTTACACCAGTTAAAGAACTGCCCCAGTAACTCACTGCGACATTTTTACTTGACTTAAATTCTATGCTGAAGAAAAAAATACATATCTAAAACTTTATTAAATTGCCATGAGGTCTAAAATATTATTAGGTAAACTCATTTCAAATGGAAGTACTACTTTCCAAGTGATCAGACTGTCCATCTAGTTCACTCCTCAAATAGCCTCTATTCAGATATGTTTAATATTAATGTTACACTTTTTATTAAAGATTTTCAAGATACCATGGAATTTTGAAATCTTATACACAAAAATGTTTGACAGCATATTATAAAAAAAAATAGAAAGAAGCTAATTGCTTTTTTGTTTCTCCACACACAGTGCGTTGCAGACTTTTCCTACAGTACAGAACAGACTTTCTCCTGCAGTTAAGACAAATGCTTCAACTAAAACCAGATAAATTCTGATCATAAATGAGAAAGATGTGGTTAATACACTATAAGCCAGAGAAAAATATGTTGTCTCATTAGTGGCATTTTGATCAGATTCTTCTGTATTTTCTCACCAAAAATGTGTCCACTCAACAGCAGAGGAAACATTCCATTTGCCTCCCCACAGCATGCAATTCAAACTCAACAGCACTCCACACACGTTCATTCCCTGAGTGCTCCACTGGTAACACAATTGCAGTAATTACAGCATGAGCATGTCCTATGAAACGGATACTAGTTCATTAATTAGAAGAGGAACGTAATTGATTATTTCAACAGCAAGGCTAAACACAAAGGTAATCCCACAGAGAGATCCATAGGGGGAGATCTGCCCAAGATGTGCCCTTGACTTCATTGCTTCTCCCAGGGGGTGGCTTTAACGGAACACAGCCTAACGAGGTAATAATTACAGATCACATAAGTGATAGTTAAGTCATTCATGACCTGTTGTCCTTAGCAAATTTTTCCAGAACTGATGTGTATTTCAGAGGATGTATTTGCCATTTACAGTCATCAGTCAGACACTTTGACAGACAATTGACCATGGAGGTCCTTGGCTATCTCTTCTGATGATGTTCAGGTCAGATAATGCTCAGATTCAATCTCACCTTTATTGTTGATATGTCACAATGGCTTGATAAGTGTGTGTTATCATTTCTCCCCTGGTGTGGCAACAGAAATCTTTTAAACAAAAGAAGACTGAGCAGCACCCGTGTTCGTGTTCGTGCCATCTTCCTTATCACTATCACTGAGCACATGGCATACCAAGAAGGCTTAGTTGCAGACAAAAATCCTCTCACACAGCTTTTTAACACAGACATGCAAATAAAGCCCCCATGCTTTGTCATTCACACCTTACACACATATTCTCAAATGCCATACTGCATTAGCTGACAAACCCCTAATTAGGATCACCAAAGGCCTAATTACAGCAATAATTTAAACCAATTCATTCATGTTTTAAAAATGCAGCACTTTTTGTGGAAACACCAAGCCAGCACTGCCAAACCGGAGCAACAACAGTCCTCCTTTATTGAGTCCATCATCAGCAAATTTGCTGATGACACCAAATTGGGAGGGAGTGTTGACCTGCTGGAAGGCAGGAGGGCTCTGCAGAGGGATCTGGATAGACTTGAGAGATGGGCTGATTCCAATGGGATGAAGTTCAATAAAGCCAAGTGCCGGGTCCTGCACTTTGGCCACAACAACCCCCTGCAGCGCTACAGGCTGGGCACAGAGTGGCTGGAAAGCAGCCAGGCAGAAAGGGACCTGGGGGTACTAATTGACAGGAAGCTCAACATGAGCCAACAGTGTGCCCAGGTGGCCAAGAAGGCCAATGGGATCTTGTCCTGTATCAAAAATAGCGTGGCCAGCAGGAGCAGGGAAGTGATCCTTCCCCTGTACTCTGCGTTGGTGAGGCCACACCTTGAGTATTGTGTTCAGTTCTGGGCCCCTCAGTTCAGAAAGGATATTGAGGTGTTGGAGCGGGTCCAGAGAAGAGCAACAAGGCTGGTGAAGGGACTGGAGCATAAGTCCTATGGGGAGAGGCTGAGGGAGCTGGGGTTGTTTAGCCTGGAGAAGAGGAGGCTCAGAGGTGACCTCATCACCGTCTATAACTACCTGAAGGGAAGTTCTAGCCAGGTGGGGGTTGGTCTCTTCTCTCAGGCACTCAGCAATAGGACAAGGGGGCACGGGCTTAAGCTCCGCCAGGGGAAATTTAAGTTGGATATCAGGAGAAAATTCTTTACAGAGAGAGTAATCAGGCATTGGAATGGGCTGCCCAGAGAGGTGGTGGATTCACCGTCCCTGGAGATTTTTAAACGCAGATTGGACGTGGCACTGAGTGCCATGGTCTAGTAAATGGACTGGATTTGGACCAAGGGTTGGACTCGATGATCTCGGAGGTCTTTTCCAACCCAATCGATTCTATGATTCTATGATTCTATGATTCTTTCACCTCGTCACAGGCTGATGTAAGGATTATTGCTTCTGGCTTGATTCAAACATTGTACTCAGTCCAGATAGTGGCTGATCACATATAGGTGTACTAGAGGAGGAGGAAGACCAAGAAGCTTTTCCTTACCTCGTTGCATTCCTAGTCATCACATATCCTTGGCAGTCATCAGCTCTTGGCAGCCCTCTTTGCTCTCTGAGTACAGAAACAGGTCCAGTCTTGTGCTGGTAGCAAAGGCACCAACACCACCGTGGGGGGCAAGGGCAATGAGAGTCTCTTGCCACCTTTCGCCTGCTAAAAAGCAGCCAGCTGTCACATGGGAAATAGTATATACCACATCTCTTCAGTCTAGGGTGCTCTCTTTTGTGATTATTGCATAGCGAATCAGCCAGAGTTCATCCAGAAACTTACCAAGAGGGCTGGGGCTGAAGCTACCAGGTAAACTCTGGGCTGATGTGAGTCAGTATGAGGGCACTGATCTCCGTAAACATATGCTGATGGACATGTACTGAAGATACTCTATAAGCTTGCCTGAAATGATTAAATCAATCTAGATTAAATCAATCAGATTAAATCAATTAATAATTAAATCAATCCAGAAATAATTAAGATGGTTTTATTACAAGCAGGGGTTATCTCGTGCCGGGGCACCTGGGGGCCATTTTGTTTGAAGGACTGGGGAGCCATTTTGTGGTCAGGGACTGGTGGACTGCTTGTGGTTCTACTTGAATTTGTTTATTGCTTCTGCTTGAAGTTGTTTATTGCTGCTGCCTACCTGCTGCTACATACAGTTCTGCTTAGGGTTGCCTATTGCTGCTCATTGTTGCCTACTGTTGCTTATAGTTCTGCCTGCTTACTGCAACTTATTTTTACTTACAGTTCTGCTTGCTTACTGTTACAGTGTGAAGGCGAGCGGGGAAGAATGTAAGGTGGTGAGACCAGCCTGGGCTCGCTGCCAGGGAACCATGCGGCCGAGGGCAGGGAAACAACCTGGTAGGTGGATGAGGACAACCAATGGACTGCACCAGAAGACAAAAATCGCCTCTTAAGGGAGAAAAGAGTGAGGCCTGCCATGGGAGAAGCGAGGGAGTGGTTATGCTAATCAAAGGGTCTTAAAAGGGCTCATCCCTCCCATTCGGGGTGTGCTCGAACCTGGTCACAAGTTCGGTGCACCCAGCACGCTGTTAATAAAGTTCTTTGTTTCACTTTATTTGGCCGTTTCCAAAATTTTAATCGGATATATTTCTCGCAAAGTGATTCTGGCTCAATGTCTCCTGCATATTGTCCCATGATGTAAGTGAATAAGGAGATTGAAACAGAAAGCTGCTTCCAAGTAAGGGAATACTTCACTGGGGCTTTTGTTCTCATTTAGTACAGTTTAACAATTCCTTCCATTCACTGAACATGGATCCCTGAGAAACCTGAAATACCCATTTTGTCTGGCATGGCAGTACTCCATAGCCCATCATGTTTGGAAGCACATTTGTAATGGATAAGAATCCAAAATGGTAAAAGTAAACACTTAGGTCAAGTTCTCTTCCTCAGACACACACATTAACTCCAGAATATCTGTAAGTGCCAGTGGAAAAAAATCTTAGGTCTTTTTTTATTGTGTCAAGAAGTCAAAGAAAAACACTTGACAGCTTGAGTGCTGCTCGCTGCTAAACTCTAACTGTTACTGTTGGTTTTTTTTTTCTTTCCTATATAACGTGCTTTTTTGAGGACAACTTATGATAGCAGTGGGAAAAAAAAAGCAGAACTTTTTCAGTTTTAAACATCACCCTATTGAATTAGATTAATATTAAATGTTTAGCAAATACACTGACAGCACAGATGAATATTAAGATTTGAAAATTAAACACTATGAATTAAATTCCTGCTGCAAGTGAAGCCAGCAAGAGTAGGGTCAGGCCAAATACACCTAAGGGAAGAAGTGATCTGATCTACTGATCAAATGGATGCAGATGTTTAAGGATATGGTCTTCATTAAGCTGCTCTGTTATTCCACAATGAAATCTAACTTATAAAGCAGATGAGGCTGAAGAGATAATTCTTCTCCTTTAAAGAAAGCTGTAAGTTATATATATGTCACAAAGATAAACAACAGCTTGCAATTACTATTTCCTTCTTTAACTACTATTTCTAAATGTCTAGTTTCCAGAGTCTTCAAATCCACTCAGCAAAGCTGGCTACAACATTTGTTATATGCTATGGATGATAGATATAATCCTATAATTTCCAATGCAATAATGACAGGTTTAATTTTTCATTTCTTCCCTCTGTGAGATGTTGTCTGGCTTTGAATTCTCATTTTTTGTCTGCATGAGTACACAAACCTGATCTGCATCATTGTGAAGTCAAACCTGCTCCGACTTCTTTTTCATTGTTATAAGCAAAGCCTGAGCTGTAATTCAAAGACATAAGGAAAAGTTTGTCCCATCAGGAGTCTCTCTCTTCTTTACTTTAAATCTCCTCTGATTTGAGGACTCATTGAAGGAGCTGTTAAGAGCTATATCAGTTCATAAAAGGCTTCCTCTCTTCTTCATGACTTCCTGTGAAAGGTTAACAATAATTTTAAACTCTGTAAACCAGCACATTTACAAACTTGCTTCAATAACATGCATTTTTTCCAAGAGACGGAGAATCTGAAACTAATTTACAGGGGACTTAACACAGAAAGAAGACAGAGTAATTCCTCCCCACTGCTGGGGCTGCTGGGACATGAGAGCTGGATGATTTCCACCACCAAGGGAGAAGAGGGGGAGGCAAGGCAAAGGGCCAGGAAAACAGTCTTTGCTCTTCTCACGTAGAGAAGATAGTATGGAGGGTTGCTATTCTCTTGTCTCACTATGGAGCCTTTCTGCCTTCTAGCTACGCAGAAAGAGATCTTTCTTCTTTCCCTTCACTACTTTCTTAGTTAGAGTGTGGAGGTAGGGTTGTGTAGAGCTGAGAACAGTAATAGTTTATTGTTCAAGTATCTGCTGTCCAGAACAAGCTGAAAACCTCAGAAGTTAAATACAAAACACATTTACCCATCTCTCTTTTTATTGTGCTGAGAAATGCTTGTAGTCTTTTATAAAACAGAGTAAAATGTAATAGCTTTTCTTTAATGCTTGGATTCTCTTTGAGCATATCAGCCAACTTAGAGCTGTGCATGTTTGCACATGCTTATGTATGAATACTGCTGCAAAACTGTCCATTACGACTGTGGAAAGAACAGACCAAAACAATTTTTTTATCAGAAATAGTTGTTCACGCGGGAAGGTTCTTGAAATATATTTTTTGAATAGTAATACCTTATTTCCATGTATAATTTTGATTTCTTTGGTTAAAAAAAAAAACAGAAACAAATGAAATCAAAGAGAATTTTACAAAAAAAAAAAAAAAAAAAAAAAAAAAAAAAAAACAAAACCAAACAACAACAACCAACCAAAAAAACTCCAAAAGACATTTAGCCAAAGGCTGAAGATTTTTTCAAGGAAATACGGACATATGTCTTTTAACTGAAGCAAAACATCTCAAGAGTCCTATAAGCAAATGCTTCACTTTGGTTCACTGTTCAATATGATCCTTGTAAGCTGTCAGAACACTTCACAAGAACCGTATTTTAGGAGCTAAATATCCCTGTTTTCTCAAAGTAACATGCTTCCTCTGAACTGCTTTCCCACAACATTTCCATTTCGTACTGCAAGAATTCCCTGAAGTAATCTGTGCCGCAGTACCGACAGGGAAAGCTGACCCATTGAGGTGAATGAGGTATGAGTTATTTGCACTTCAAATGATGGGAAAATTGTAGTTGTGCCCTAGAAAGACACAGTTTAGAAAAAAAACCAAAAATTTAAAACTACAGTTTTTAACTTCAAATTGTCCCAAGATAAAACCTCTTGGTTTGTTTAAATAAATTGAGACATTGCAAATCACATTGGAGCAACTTGAAATAAATATTTTGCTTTCTGTTTTCAATCAAGAATTTTCATGTTTTTAAAAGAAAAAATAGAGTTTTCCAAGAGTAGAGGCACATTTTGATAAATTCTACTATTTATATCATGGGTCAGAATTTGTACCCATTCACTCTGGTACAAATTGAGATTAAACAGAGCATACAACTGCGAAACCAAATTCTGGGTTGTTGAAGTGACACTTTATACTCAGATCATAAAAAGTCCATTCTCAAATTTAGTGTTGTAGCCTAAACTGCCACTGGTATGTCACATAAGGTCCCTGGGATGTTCTAGTCCTCCTCCAGCTCAGTGCAGGGCAATGCAGAAAAGACCTTTCACTTCAAATTCTTTACTACGCCCTTGCTCATATAAAGTCTCCAGGGTTTTCAGTTTATCCAGGAAAGGATTTTCAAGGAAGAAATGTTGATATGTAGTTGAGAAAATCCAAACACCCCTTTAGGTATGTATGTATGCCAACTGCAATAATAAAAACAAAGACGACTTCTACTTAACCATTTCCCAGATCTGCATAAGCTTTGTCTGCATAGTTTTATGTACCCATTTCTCCAAGGTAGTAGAGTAAATATATTTTATGCCATTTTATATGTGAGATTTCATCTGATTTGTTAAAGCCACAAAAGCCACAAAGCAAATTTTTGGATTCCTGTTTTCCTTTTCATCATAGGTCAAATGGCTCTCCAAATCCCATAGCTCTTTCTGAGGTAGTTTCGGTATGCTTGGACAAAACCAAGCACAAGTAAAGTAAAACACAGTTTTCCTGAGCAGTAATAGATACTTGCTTATTCTGGAACAGCTCCATTCATTATTAAAACCATACTACTATCATAACTAGGGGTTAAAAAAAAAAAAAAGACACAGACCCATGGTTGTAATTATGTTTATCTTTATGTAATATCTTGTTATCAGTACAACTGCTCCCTGCCATTAACTTGCTTGGTCCCTGAAAATTTACTGACAAGCGCTAGTGAGGAATGTATGCACTGACAGACAAAGTTACTCAACCCTGCTCCAGCCCCCACACCCTCTTTGAAGTCTTTCATTATTTCTGTAACATTTTGTTTGCTATTAGGATTACGCGATTTATTTGTTCAGATTGGGAAGTCTCTTCTTGATGAGCTGCTGTGTTCAGTAAACAGCTCCCGACAACAAACAAGGATTTAAATAATCACTGTGTAATCAGTAGGCACCAGCACATCGGATCTCACTTCTTCAAATCCAGGTAGCTGCCTGTCAAATCACACCATTTATCACACTAAAAGTTAGCTGCTTAGCTGCACCAGAATCATATCACTCACTTTTTAAGCAGTTTCAGTGAATTCACCAGAAAAGAATTATGGGCTTTCTGGTTTTGCAAGGATTCTGCTGCAACATGGCCGTCTTGAACTTAGTATCAAATCCTAAGCAGCACCAGGACTAACGAGGCCAGAGTACCGAGCAATACTGACTGGCTATCCCCAGCCCATTATGTGCTTGGAGGAAATATTAGACCAATCAAGTAACAGTCCAACAAAATTGAGCCCAAATAGAACTCCTTTATGATAGCTGTAGTTAGTATCATTTGGC